GGATGGCGAATCCGAACTGTACGTGGGAAACTTTTCGTGATTTGTTTCACGCTAAGTATTTTCCGCAAGAAGCTCGCAACAAGCTTGAGTCGGAGTTTTTGGACTTCCGTCAAGGATCAATGACGGTGAGGGAATTGCAAGTGGAGTTTGACCGGCTTAAGAAGTTTGGTGGCCGAGACATGGATGACGAGCAAGCCCAGATTCGCCGATTCATGCGTGCGTTGGATGTTGATCTCCAGATCGGTTGTAGCATCCGGGATTATGCGACTCTATCCGAGTTGGTGGAAAAGGCAGCATTGCTTGAAGCTCGCCTTGAGGAGAAGGCAAAGCTGTCGAATTCTCAAGTGTCAACTCAACCTGCTCCGCAAAGCAAATCTGACCAAGGTGGCGGACAGAAGAAGAATTGGGGGAAAACGAATTTCCAAGGAAAGTCATCGGGACAGAACCGAGTGTGTCCGACTTGCAAGAAGATGCATTCTGGTACGTGCAGGCTCCTTTCGGGACAATGTCTCCGTTGTGGTAGCAAGGATCATCGGATCAGCGAGTGTCCGGAAAGGGATCGACAGCCGGATACGCGGTCATGTTTCAATTGTGGTGAAGCTGGTCATTTGAGGCCTAATTGTCCGAAGCTTATGCAGCTAGCTGGGAAGCGGCCAAGTGAGGCGTTGCCACCACCGCCTAAGAGGCCAGCAATCATGCCAAGGGTTTACTCGGTGTCCGACGAGTATGTGAATGAGGCAAGCACTTCACGTCCGATCACGGGTAAGTCTTGTCACTTACCTTAGCAAATGTTTTTGGTAACTTGCCTGTTGCTTGTCGGGTTGGGTTCTTAGCATTTTAGGTAAATGTGTAGGGACCATTCTCATGAGTGGTGTGGAAACCCATGTATTGTTTGATTCCGGGGCTTCACGTTGCTTCGTGTCCCCGGAAATGATTGGTAAAGGTGGGTTTCAAAAGGAACCCGGACAAGACTTTGGTCTTGTTAAAGCAGCCGGTGGACAAAGGATGATGACCTATGGAAAGGTCCGGAACATCTCCGTGATGATTTGTGGAGTTGATATGCCCACGGACTTGGTGATTTGCCGCATAGATGATCATGATGTAATCATGGGAATGGACTGGCTCGGCAAATATTCGGCACATTTGGACTGTCGCCGTGGACGTGTTGTATTCGAGACGCCTAAAGGTTTACTGGTGTATCGGGGAATCAAACCATCGTCCGGAAGTTTGATTGTTTCTGCAGTTCAAGCGGAGCATATGATTCAGAAAGGGTATGAAGCGTACCTGGCGACAATCTCTACGGTGCAAGTGGGAACCGAGCAAGAAGTTAAGGATATTCCGGTGGTGCAAAATTTCAAAGACGTGTTCGGAGCGTTGTCTGGTTTGCCACCGACACGTTCGGATCCGTTCACGATTCAACTTGAGCCGGGAACAGCTCCAATCTCTAAGTCACCATATCGGATGGCTCCGGCGGAAATGGCCGAATTGAAGAAGCAGCTTAGTGAGCTAATGGACAAAGGATTTGTGAGACCAAGCAGTTCACCTTGGGGTGCACCGGTTCTCTTTGTAAATAAGAAAGATGGAAGTTTCAGACTTTGTATCGACTACCGCGGCCTGAATAGAGTGACGGTGAAGAATAAGTACCCTCTTCCGAGGATCGACGAGTTGTTGGACCAACTTAGAGGTGCTACTTGTTTCTCGAAGATTGATCTAGCCTCGGGCTATCATCAAATTCCGATCGATGAGTCGGATATCAGTAAGACGGCCTTTCGGACAAGGTACGGGCATTACGAATTCGTTGTCATGCCTTTCGGGCTGACTAATGCTCCCGCAGCTTTCATGAAGCTCATGAACAATGTATTCCGGGAATACTTGGACGAGTTTGTTATCATCTTTATTGATGACATTCTAGTTTATTCGAAGAATCCGGAAGAGCACGGCGTGCATCTGAGGAAGGTGTTGTGTAAGCTAAGAGAACATAATTTGTTCGCCAAGCTAAGTAAGTGTAGCTTTTGGCAAAGAGAAATTGGATTTTTGGGGCATGTGGTGTCGGATAAAGGAGTGTCCGTCGATCATGAGAAGATCAAGTCAATTGCGGATTGGCCGAAACCTCAAAATGCATCGGAGATAAGAAGTTTTCTTGGTTTGGCTGGGTATTACCGACGTTTTGTTAAGGGATTTTCAAGCATGGCGCATCCATTGACAAAGTTAACGGGGAAAGATGTACCATTCGTGTGGTCGACAGATTGTGAGAAGAGTTTCTCGGAGCTTAAGAAGATGCTTACAAGTACACCGGTATTGGCATTGCCGGAACCGGATAAACCTTATGTGGTCTATACAGATGCATCAAGGATGGGACTTGGATGTGTCTTAATGCAGCATGGTAAGGTAATCGCTTATGCCTCTCGGCAGCTCAGGAAGCACGAAGCGAATTACCCCACTCACGACTTGGAAATGGCGGCGGTCGTGTTTGGTTTGAAAATTTGGCGTTCTTACCTTTACGGTGGGAAAGTTCAAGTTTTCACGGACCACAAAAGTCTCAAGTATATTTTCACCCAACCGGAATTGAACTTGCGGCAGCGAAGATGGATGGAGTTAGTGGCCGACTACGATGTCGATATCGAATATCATCCGGGTAAAGCAAACCTTGTAGCCGATGCATTAAGCCGGAAAAGAGTTGTTTCAAGTACTGAGAAGGAGATGGAAAGTTTGGTTGACATGGTTGGTACCTTACGCTTGGAAGCGATATCGGAAGAGTTAGAGCCTTTGGGTTTGGGTGCCGCGGATCAAGCCGATTTATTGACTCGTGTTCGGATAGCACAAGAAAAAGATGAGGAACTCATTAAGTTATCGAAGAATGATAAGACCGAGTACCAGACTTCGAGCAATGGGACGATATTGGTAAAGGGCCGTGTGTGCGTTCCGAAGGATAAGGAACTTCGAGAAGAAATTCTTAAGGAAGCACATCAGTCTAAGTTTTCGATACATCCGGGATCAACAAAAATGTATCGAGACTTGAAGAGATATTATCATTGGCGAGGGATGAAAGAGGATGTTGCTAGATGGGTTGCTTCTTGTTCGACTTGTCAAAGAGTTAAAGCTGAACATCAAGTTCCAGGAGGACTGTTGCAAAGTTTACCAATTCCCGAGTGGAAATGGGATATGATAACCATGGATTTTGTTACCGGATTGCCTATGTGCGAGGAGAAAGATTCTATTTGGGTTATTGTCGATCGATTAACGAAGTCCGCACATTTTCTGCCGATGAATAAGACAGATGGAACCGAGAAGCTTGCAAAGCTTTACGTGGAGAATATCGTTCGGTATCATGGAGTGCCGGCGAGTATAGTATCGGATCGTGACTCTAAGTTTACTGTTGGGTTTTGGAAAGCTCTTCAAAATCAATTTGGTACAAGATTGAACATGAGCACGGCTCATCATCCACAAACGGACGGGCAGTCCGAGAGAACAATCCAAACACTTGAGGATTTGTTGAGAGCGAGTGTTCTGGATTGGGGTGGAGATTGGACGAGTTACTTGCATTTGGCGGAGTTTACTTATAACAATAGTTATCAAGTGAGTATTGGAATGTCACCATATGAAGCGTTGTATGGTAGGCCTTGTCGAACACCGCTGTGTTGGACACAAGTGGGGGAGCGAAGTGTCTATGGTCGGGACTTTGTGCAAGAAACGACCGAGAAGATCAAAGTGTTGAAGGCTAAAATGAAAGAAGCTCAAGATAGACAAAGAGTTATGCCGATAAGCGTCGGCGAGAGTTGGAATTTCAGGTGGGAGACATGGTTTACCTTAAGACGGTTACTTATAAGGGTAAAGACCGTGCAGCCTTGAACACAAAGTTAACTCCGAGGTACATGGGACCGTACCGAATTCTGGAAAGAATTGGAGCAGTGGCCTATCGACTTGAATTGCCTCCGGCAATGAAAGCATTTCACAAAGTGTTTCATGTGTCTATGCTAAGGAAATGCATAACACCTCGAGAGAATGTCTCAACGGAGCTTCCAGCGGACTTGCAAGCGAATATGACTATTGTTGGAAGACCAGTTCGAATTATTGGGAGGAAGTCAAGAGCTGGAAGAAAGAAAAAGGTTAAGTTGATTCAAGTTGTGTGGGATTGTGACGGAGAAGAAGAGACTACTTGGGAACCGGAGGAAGTAATGAGGGTGAATTTCAAGAAATGGTTTGAGAAGCGAGAAGTCTCGAAAGAGAAAGTTTAGATTCGAGGACGAATCTATTCTAAGTGGGGGAGAGCTGTAACGCCCGTCTCCGAAGAATCCTAGCCGGTACTGGACGTGCCAATGATCGAGGCAACATAAGTTTATCGAAGATTTGATCAATTTGTCGAAGATTTATCGGTACGATCGAAGTTTATTGAGAAAGATCGGTGTATGCTGTCGGAAATCCGAATGATCGAAGAAAAAGTTGAGTGTTCGGACAATAAAAGATTTTCGGACAAGTTTGTCGGAAGAGTATCGACCATTGCGTGTTTATCGGACCGGTTGTCGGAACTCTATCGAGTGGCTGTCGGTGATGCGAAGATCCGCTCGATATTTTGTCGATCCGATTCGGTAACCCGCCTGTGTTGGTAAGCCGAGATTCGTGGGATTGGATATTCTCGATGGTTGTTCGGAGAATCGGATAAAATCTAGAAGAAGATCGGAATAATGGATATTCCATCGAATATTCTCGACGGATCGGGAATTTTCTCGAGCCTATATAAAGACCTGCCGACCATTTGTTAGCGTTTTCACGCGTAAGAACCCTAAAGGCGATCGGCAACCTTTTCATCGAGAAAGTTAGGTGTTTGTCGAGAATCCGTGAGAAAGATCGAGAGTAGATCGAGTAATTCTCGAGAATCTTGGTAAGTATCGTGTAAACTTGGTGTTTATCGATTGTTCTTCGAGTATTGTCGGTAAAAGAGTTAGATCTGTGCTCATGGTGTAGATCCGGGTGCTTTGCGAGAGTTTATTGGATCCGATCGGACGAGTAAGCGACTAGAGGTGTCAGAAAGTGAATCCGTGTGAGAAAGGTGAGAGCGTGACCGTGGCCGAGTCTTGGGTCGTTTTTATTGATTGATTCATTGATGTTTTCTTGCTTGTCATGGTTTATGTGTTATCGCGATAATGTCTTGATAGTTATTCGATGGTGGTTCCGATAATTATCTCGACGGTATGTTATGTTTATGGCTTGCTTGTTTAACTCCTTGAATCGATCGAAATGAATGTGATTTCTTGACTGTGCCAAGTGTGACGGGACGACCGCTCCACTAAGCAAATTCGTTTGCTTACGCCTCCTTTTGGATGCAGGAAATGGAAGTAATTCTTGTGGCTGAACCAGCTCGTGAGACGAAGGCAAGGAAAGGGAAGGATGGTGGATTGGGGTAGTTTTAATAATTCGGTCTAGTGTTGAAAACGATGTAATAGCTTATTAGCGAACTTGTCGTTTGTACTAGAACCTCGTTTGGAATTCAAGTAATCTGTTTCGCATTATTGACTTGTCTATCGATCTTATGCGGTTATGTTAAGTTTTGTCGAAAGTACCTTTGAACTTGAATGAAAAATTTTGAAAATTCGGGTTAGGGTCTTTCAGAAACCCCACACCTTCCATTTCCTCTTCCAAGCCACAGTTTTTTTCTCTCTTCATATGACCCACGATAGGCCCAGAAAGCCCATCTCTCCTTGTACTACATACTTAAAATAAACAAGTAAATAAAAGTATAGTTGTGGAAATAACAAAGAAAGTAGTTTACCTGCCACCAAGATAAGGAATACTAAAGACGATGACTAAATGGGAAAGAAAAGCTTAAAGAAACAACCATTTGATTTTTGTAAGTCTTAAATACTTTTTACTTACACAACATATCATTGTCACTATTGCTTAGTGCTTACACTGCACAAATAGATTTGAATTTTAACATATTTACGTTTTTGAGACAAGAGTTTAATATACAAAGTTACTAAACCCCACATATGTATAAAGAAGATATATCCTCAAAGCGATCAGAGAGAAGAGAAAGAAAAAAAGAAAAAAAAGAAAGAAGAAGACATGATGCACATGACAGTCACATGCGCCTTACTATTTTATTATTAGGTGAGCCAACATTATCGACTTGCCATAATTGAATAATCCCCCACTAATTTCATAATTCATTTCTTCAATCAATCAATCCAACTGTTATTTTTAGTAAGCCTGTAAGAAAAAAATATATACAAAGAAACTCATTTGTTTGTGTGTTAATACGGTCGATAAACATATTAACATGTTTAGTTTAGGAGTGGTTTAAAGAATCGTTGTTGTATTATCATCAGTTTTTTTTTTTTTTACTACATGAATTTTTTTTAACCCCATGTACATGAATTGAATTGAAAAGCATCTATCTGAATTTGTTACTATAGTAATTAATAAATATTCATCGGTTAGTTCAAAAAAAAAAAAAAGAAAGAAAGAGGGAGAATAAGAAAGTGTTGTCATCACGAGAGAGATCTGACAGAGACAGCGTAAAATCGCTTTAATTGGCACCTCAACGGACAGAAGAGAAAGACTGGCGGATTCCAAATCCCACTCTTAACCGTATTTTAATTCTTCCCCTTTCAGTTCCGCCTTCTTCCTTTCTTTCTTTTGCTCCAATTTCCAACGTCACTTCTCTCTCTCTCTCTCTCTCTCTCTTTCTCTGTGTCTTTTGTTTATTCTACTGATCCAACATATCCCACTCGAACAGGAAGACGAAGAAGAAGATAAAACGGTCTTTTACTCTCTTCTTAACAACCTAACATGGGAAGATCTCCAGCTTCTTCTTGTCTCCGTATCATCGCTTGCGCCGGCGCTGATGATGCCGCCGATCCTAACGCCTCCTCCGCCGAGGTTCTTTCATTTTTTCGTTTCTCCATTTTAAGTCTTTATAGTGTTCGCGGTACTGAACAAGTTACTAAATTAGGATCTGAGTGTTTCTTAATGTACTAGATCTCTGTCTCTTGGTTCCGTCAGTGTCTGGTCGGAATTTTGGCATTACTGAGTTTCTAATTTTGTCTACTTAGGGTTTTTTTTTATATAAAAAAAAAATAGATAATTGTTGTTTGTTCGTGATTACTTAGGTTTTGTTTTGCCTGGTCTATCTACGAGATCTTTGCCCGTTTTGATCTTGTTTAGGTTTTAATGGTTCTGTGTCTTTTTATTTAGCTTTTCTGCTACGAAATGTGTGACGTTAAGCACTTAAAATATTGTGTGGTGATATCAATTTTTGTTTTGGATGTAGAACAAGAGTTCTGGTGACAAGCGTGGATGGAGTTTCAGGAAGAAATCTGGGAAACAGCGAGGCTTGGTCACTAGTGTTGTCTCTGAAACTACTCCTGCTACTAGGACTAGAGAAACTCTTGAATCTGCTCTCCTTAAATCTCCATCTCCTGACAACAACATTGTTTCTGAAAAGCAGCAGCCGTATTCTGTTGATGAGAAGAAGAGTAGTCAAATACCTGTTGTTGCCTATGTGACTGAACCTGTTGATGAGAAAAAGAACCAGTCTGCTGAGAACAAAACGGTGGAGGAACAGTTTGACCACAAAACTGATCTGCCTGTTCTTGTGGAATCTAAAGGGACTGAAACTGAGGATGATGATTTGATTGGAACTGAGTTGCAAGAACCAAATGCTGCTGATGCATCCACGATAGAGAAAGACATTACTCCCGAGGTTGAAAACGCTAGTAAGGTTGAACCGAAAGAATCTGAAACCGAGGATGTGATCATAATCAGAAAAGAAAGTGATGAAGAAGTGGACGACAAGTTTGGTGAGTCTGTTATCGTGATCATACAAGCTGCTATTCGTGGATTTTTGGTATGGTCTCGTTTCTTTTGCTCTCTTGTGATTTCTTTATTATTAAGGGTGTGAAGAAGCTTTCCTTAACTCTGTGAACTTGTTAGAGATGTTGTCATTTCCCCCCCTGTTGCTGATGAGAAAGAACTGTCCTGAAAACTATTCTTACTGGGGTGTTATTGAACTGCAGGTGCGAAGAGAACTTTTGAGGCGCAAGAACGTTATTAAACTTCAAGCTGCAGTTCGCGGCCACCTGGTTAGGAACCAGGCCATGGGATCACTGCGCTGTGTCCAAGCTATTGTCAAGATGCAAACAATGGTTCGTGTGCGTCATTCCACAAAAGATGGTAGCCGTGTTTCAGCAATCTCGGTAAGGTTTCGAGATCGCTGAATTATGTTATGGTACATTTTGTTTTCCCTATATAATCTGTGGACTGATATTGTTTTGTGTTTCAGGATAAAGTGGAAGCAAATGCAGCTGCACAAAAGCTTCTTGAAAACAAGTTTGCCAAGCATGTATGTTTTTAAACAAATTTCCTTCTGGCTGTCTATTTAAGGAATATATTGTGATAACTAAACTCAATTTCTTGTTACATATATGGTTTATAGCTAATGGAGTCAACTCCCAAGACAAAATCAATCAGCATTAAATGTGATCCAACAAAACCTAGTTCTGCTTGGAACTGGTTGGAGAGGTGGATGTCTGTGCCAAATCCTGAGAAGACTTCAAAAGCAGATTTGACAACGGAAGAGCAACAGGCCGAAGAGACACAGAATGTGAAAGTGTCACCTCAAGTTTACTCTGTGAACTCTGACTCAACGGTAGAGAGCAAAATTCAAAATGATTTGTCAAGCTATGAAGTAGATATGCTAACAGCTCAGCATGTGAAGCTATCTGAGACAGAGAAAATGAGCCAATATGATTCACCAGAAGCATCAGCAGAGGTCTATCATGACTCAGTCCAGTCTCTTCCACCTGCTGCTAAGGAACCAGATTCTTTGCTCGAAGAGCCTGAATATGAGGATGGACAGCCTAAACATTCTCTGAAGCGTAAGGCTAGTAATCCTTCTTTCATTGCCGCACAGTCAAAGTTTGAGGAATTAACTTCATCTACTGGTTCAAACAAAGCAATGTCTTCGAAGGATGGTGTGTTGGGTGAAGAAGGAAAAACAGATATTGATTCACCAGACACTACAAACATTAAAAAGGACCACTCTCTGGAAGATGTTGCTCAGGCTGAGCTCAGTGGATCTGAGTGTGGCACCGAACTCTCTGTCACTTCTTCTCTTGACACACTTGAGAAAAAGTCTGAGGCTGAGGGTACAGAGTCCAAGGTAGAAGCAAAGCTTTTAGAGGAGGAAACTGATGTTAAAACAGACCAAACAGAGTTGATAGAAATTGATGTTAAAGACGAAACATCATTGGGTACTGTAGAGGACCCTAAGGAGAACTTTGAGAATGCCAAGGACGAAGTTGAAAAAATTTCAGAGACACAGCGTGAATCGGTAATTAGTACACCAGATTCCAAAAAGAGACGGGCTGAAGAATCAGGACCTCAAGCTTACCCGTTATCTGAGGGAGCTGAAACTCCCATGACAATCACAGAGTCTCAGGCAACACCGGCAAGCCAAGCATCTTCTTCAGTCAAAGCAAGAAAGGGAAAATCTGAAAAGAGTGGTTCGAGCCAAAAGAGGAAAGTTAGCAAGAAAATAACATCGAGCCCTAAACAGGAAACTGGCACCGGTGAGGCTACAGAACAAGAAGAAGGGAAGGAACATAAAAGCGGGAGAAGAAATTCTTTCGGGTTTGATCAAGAAGCAAGGGAAAGCAGTGGAGGCAAGAACTCTCTTCCTCGGTTCATGCAGCCAACGCAGTCGGCGAAAGCCAAGGTTCAAGAACACAACTCACCAAGATCAAGCCCTGATCTTCAAGAAAGAGATGTAGTGTCAGTCAAGAAGAGACATTCATTGCCTGGTGTTACCAATGGGAAACAAGGTTCTTCTCCTAGAATCCAACGGTCTGCCTCTCAAGCACAACAGGGAACAAAGGGTAAGCAAACCTCCTCCTACAGTTTCTTTCTCTCTGCTATCACTCTTTCGCATTTTGAAGCTTTTAGAAAACTCAACAATGTTATGATTCTGGCTTTGTTTTTTACAGATAGAAAATGGCAGAGGTGAAAGCTGCTGACCTGAGTGCGACAGAAATCTGAAAAGACAAAAATCTTAGGAGACATTGGGTAATTTGATTAATGATATGGTTTTTTTCAGACAATCCTTTAACTCTTAGTTTCAGACAACTAAAGTGACAAAAGCGCAGAAGAAGAACGGAGTGTGGAGGATAGTCTCTTGTTTCTTTTGTCATTGGAGGATAGTCTCTTGTACAGAGTCGTTTTTCCTTTTTTTTTTAAAAAAAAATTGTTTGATTTTTGTGGCTAAGGAATTGATTTGGTTTGGTTTGGTATTGGTTTTTTCGGACATAACCTCCTCAACTGAAAGTGAATCTTGTCGTTAACAATGGATTTTATATTGACTTCACTTTTCTTTTTAAGTCATGTAATAATATCTTGGTTATTGTTATACTTTTCTGCCAAAATTCGTCACATGTGTGTACAATTCTAGCTTAAAGAACATGATTTTTCATTATCCTAGAACTATAACTGCTAACAACAACAAAAACAACCATTGTTCTAAATTATGATCATCTCCTAATTTGACGCAACCTTAAGTCATAATGCATGCGTGTTTCGAAAATGTAAGTCTACACTTCAATCAACTTGTCTTAACAGAAGCAGTTTATTTAAGTCTTGCAACTAAAGGTGGGGTTGTTGTTGGTGATAACTACGAGTCAATGGGACTGGCTGCTGTTGACTATATTTCCAAATTTAGGGGGTCATTATGGAAATAAAATAAACTGATGGATTAATATGGAAAAATGGAAAATATTGAAGGGGAATGAAGGACACGTGTATATAGGCGGAGGAAAGAAAAATCTGGAGGACAGATAAAATGACGATGGTGACCAGAAGAAGAAGCACCCAGAGGATCTAGGGCTTCTCAATCGCTTCAATCTCTCTCTCTCCCCCACCTCGACAGATTTAGCATGCAGCTTCATAAATTCATCGTCTTTTCTTCTTAAATCCTCCATCCTCCATTTTTCAAAAGTTTTTCCCGAGAAAATTAGGGTTTCTCGACAACTTTGGATGAGAATGATGATGATTGGTTCAATCTAAATAGTTATATACTGGATTGAATAAATTATTGGGGATTTAAAGGGGAATTGGACCTTCTTGAATCAGTTTCCTGGAAAAAAGAATATATTTTTAGATTGAAAAAGAAGTGAACTATGCGGGCATTGCACAAAAGGGTATCCTGGCCTCCAGATTTTAAACTTTGTCAGGTAAAAAAAATAAAAAGATACATTTCATCAGTTCATTGGATCGAGAAGCTTTCATTGGTGTTTTTGTTTTAGCTCCCTTTTCGATATATCTTCTTCCTTCAATTGGCTGATTGCAAATGATATGATGATGACTTGAACTTCAATTTGTTAATGTTGCTGAATCTCTTATAGTGTGATTGATGTTTGTTTAGTTTTGCTCTGTGGTATGATTCAATTGGTTTTTGTGTTCCTTAATTTGCCCTTTAGGTTTTTAAATTTGATAACTTGGGATTATCTTGTTTAGTCATGATTTGAGGAACATGAGACTTTGGTAGTTTATATCTGCCTGCAACTTTTTTTCGTTCTTAGTGAAATAGTGTGGAACCATGGTGCCAATGACTTATCTGGAGTACTTACAAACTCTGCTCTCTTTCTTTCTTTTCTTGCATCATAGTCTAAAATGTGTTTTGCCCATTTTTTGCATCTTTGGATAAGGGGCTTATCCTGAGATACGTCCAGTTTCATCATGGGATGGTCAGCCTTATACATCTTACTCATGACATCAATGTAGTCAAGTAGTTCAATGATGAGGTATGTAAGACAACGAACCAAGAAAAATCCTTAACGAATTCGGCATGGTGAAAAGTTATACACTTGACACCAAATGCTGTCATTTGCAACCTGTTTGATGATGGGATATCCTTTGGTAAGATAGCTTGGAGATGGGTTCGTTGTCCAGCTCGTGTTCTTATTGAGAAGGGGGAGGAGGAGGATGCTACAGAGAGGAATATCAACATTTTCCAAGTTATTTCATGTATACGTGGTTGGAAAAGTAGTTGATTGGTTAGGCTATTGTGAATTTTGAGGTCCTTTTCATATACTTTGCCACGTTGACTGTTCTTTCGTTAAACTAAGCTTTTTCAAACAGCTTGGATTTGCATTAATACGTCAATGCTTGACAAGCCCTTTTCCACCTTCTTTAGATTGTATGTTTGAGATAACTTGTCCAATATTCATGTTTAATGTATAATCGTATTTTTTGTGTAGTGATTCTTGTTTGATGTCTACATGAGTTCTAACTAGCATTATTCTGATCAATATTCTCGTAGGTTCTTGTGTACATATCAATTGACAATATGTTCTCATGTTGAACAGGTACGGCTGTTCATATCAGAGGATTCACCTTCACAAGTTGGATCAGAGTCTCAAGATCACCTGCAAGCGAAGTCATCTTTGGCTTCACATCTGGGTGATGATAATTTACCACCCGGTTTTGGTGGACCTCTTTCCGCCAATGAGCCACAGATTAAGTTATCAGACATTGCAGTAATAAAGTGGAAATGCTCTGTCCGGGTGAGCTCTTGGATCATACTCTTTAAGCCTTATTTGTTAGCTAGGATCAGTATATCTTTGAAACACTAATTGCAACTGTCTCAAAATGCCAAGATATTTACACTTCTAGTCAACATATTGTTTTTCCCTCTTTTCTCTGAAATTATATTAATTGTCCAGCCAAATAAATAGCAAAGGTCCTTTGATCTGATAAACATACGAATCACTGGTAATAGGGGATAAAGGTGATGTTGGTTGATGTACTCATGTATGGTTGTATTTCTTGGTAATCTAGTTTTGGATGTTTATATGTTAAGCCCTTGAGATACTGACAATAACATGTGCACTTGCAGATTTTGCTAGATGAAGAATGGAGAGTGGTTGCAGGAGAGGAAAGCAATGAAGTTGAAGCACAAAATCAGAGGGAATTGAGAGTTCTTGAAGCATTCTATCCTGGCGCATCATCTATTCCTCCAAAGTCCGGATCTATCCCCTCCATATTTGTTTAACACATACATATGCATATTTACTTTTATTTTGACTTGGGATCTTTTCTTAAACTGAAATCTGCAGCCCTTCGGTTCCAGCTGATATTGACAACTCACATTATGATGATCAGCAAACCATTGTCATACCAATACTACCTGTAGAAGATGATGACATAGCGTTGGATTCAGCATCTGATCTCCCAACCCAATCTGGCGCGAATGTGGGAACAGAGCCACCAATACCCGATGAGAACACATCAACTTCTTCGATCCTCCCTCCAGGGTCAGATATAATGGCGGCATTATCTGCAATCTCAAACAGCAAAGAACAAGGCAGCAGTATGATTGACCAAGATTTGCTTATTAAGATCCTAAGCAACCCTAAGTTGGTCGAGAATCTTGTTGCAAATCGAGGCAGTGCAGGTTCAGTCTCCTCCAACGCAAGTAGCCTCTACCCATCTTCAACCCATGAAGCCAATGGAGTAGTTACCACAACACCTGCCTCCAATGGACAATTTTACCCTCAGCCAATGGTTACACAATGTCCTCCCATGGTGTATCCTCCTCCAGCTCCGTCAGACCAGCATAATTACGGAGCACCACCAGCAAGAGATGCTAGTTATTACAAGAACCTGATTCAGCAACATGGCGGGGAAAGACAAGAAACGCCACCTGTTCAACAACATCTCGGTTATCGTTACAACCTCCAACCTGGAGGACCTAACCCGGAGATGATAAATAGCAATATTAATAACCAGAGGCTAAGGGATGCAAAACCCAAGATAATGAAGCCTTGCATGTACTTCAACAGCACGAGGGGTTGTCGCCATGGATCCAATTGTTTATACCAGCACGATGCTACACCATACCAGCCGAGGAATCTAAACAATGGCAATATCAACACTTCTGAGATGCAGAATGCAAAAAGAATGAGATTTGACAGAGACTAATGCAGAATTAGCATACCACACATGCTCTATGCCTCTTGGTTTGAGAGCTTGTTGTTAGCAGCAGAGCAAATTTTCTCTTTTCTCTTGCCTGGCTTTGCTGCTATATAAGTTTTATATACTTTGGCAACCATTTCTTAGTTTTATGCTACAAATGTAGAATTAATCAGCGAGTATCATTTGGCTCACCATCACAGTAGTAATTATACTGTCCCTAGTTTTTTCTTAAGATTATTTTCAACATATTTATCTTTATCATTGTGCAGAAAACAGAGTATAATCTTCACATGACCCTTGATCTAAAAGATTCCTCTGATTTTTTTTTTTTTTCTATACGTACTGAAATTATTGTTTGCTTTGATCTTATAGTGTCAGTGTGTCACAATTACTGATTCATTCATCCATCACTCTCCTACATAATATGAAAATAGTTTCAGGTTTCAAATCGGAACAACACATCAAATGCTTACAACAAGATGGTTTCTCCTCTACCAGTTCGAGAAAAGAACAGTTTCTTTCTCTCTTTCTTTCTTACAAATCAGCAGGATATCTTTTCCTTATATCGCTACATTTATGTAACAGAAGTCTTAAGATCATTAATGCCTGCGCTGTTCAAAAGCTTCATCCCTTCTTCACTCATCTGCTGGACCTCTGTTGGCGACAGTATCCTTATGCACCTTACGCATCCCACAAACTCTCTGTACAAGTTTATGTAGCCATGTAAGAAAAACTATTGTCAGACACATTGTGAGGTGATGTTAATAGATTCACAGGACAGTGAGAGAGAGACTTACTCCCATGGATCATCTCCTACAAGCAGAACATCACTCTCATAATCAACATATACAAGCTTCCAACCCGAGCTTTGGGGGTGAGTTAGTAGTCCTTCCAATCCAAACATGCACTCAATTGCAGATTTTAGCTCCTCGTAGTCTTTGAAGCTTGTGACATCAATTGACCTCCCGACTGACCCGGTTTTTTGAACCTGCCAAGTCAAAACATTCCCCAAAATCCAAAGATTAATGTCAAATTATGACACCAGAAAATGTATTCTCTGTGGAATGAATGAAGGATAATCTTTTCACCTTAGTGTATGTTCGGACGCGAGGTGTTGCAATTTTCTGCCATGATGAGCCTTTACTATTTTGCAGAAGACTACTATCATCAAAATCAACATTGCTTGATGATGTACCAGTTCCTCCAGAATTATCTGGAAAATCTTGGCGGGAGAAAGCCTGTGAGTCTGCAAAGCTAGCTGATGTGATTTGCGACTGGACATCTTGAGCAAAGCTAGAGTTGTTGTTTCCAACCAAACAACTAGAAGGGTGGTTCTGGAAATCTGTTTCTTTGATGGCACAAAAATCATCAAGCACTGTGTTTGAGAGTGGAGGATCTAGAATGTTGCTGTTTGTGCTATTACTCATACACATAGTCTGACTAGCATAAAGGTCCTGCTGCATCAAGGGACTGAACTGGTCAAACTTGAGACCGTTCAACTGATTGTCCCACACATCGTGAAACAGCGGTGAGTTTGTTGAATCTGGTAACACAACAGCTGAAGAATCCTGGGAGGATAGCATGAATGGTTGCTTGTATGATCCAGCAAGAGACTGGAAAGAAGAGACTTGTGATGTCAGCTCTTCAGTTTCCAGGAAAGAGAATCCATTTATTGGATCGGACTGTGGTGGGTAAATCTGTTGACTCATGTCAAGACATGGGTCAGCTTGTATAGGAGACAAAGCACCCGTTTTCTGAATTAGCTGATTAACCTTTTCCTCATTACCCACTGTGGCTGTTGTCACCTGGCTCACCTGTTCAATTGACTGCTCAAGTCCATTCTGGGCTTTTCCAGAACTGCAACCAGAAAGTGTTGAATTCACAGGTTTTGCAGGAGCACTCATACTCTGTGACAGATTCTGTTCTTGGCAACTTGTATTAGAAGCAGATGGGTTCACTGTTAGCTTGCTTTCTGGCTGCACCATCTCAGATTTCTGGTTCATCATCATGGGTTGCTGCATCTTCATATCTCCTAGCAAACCTCCATGCCCCATTATAACATTCTGCTGCATCTCAGACATGAAAGATGGTACATTTTGGTTGTTGTGAGGTCTCATCATCATTTTCATAAGCTGCTCTGAAGCCATATTAGGGAAAGATGCGTAAGGCATAATCCCGTTTGCGGAATCAGGAACACGGATAAGAGGCCGTTTTATCAAGCTACCCCATTCTGTTTCACCTGCTGCAATTTCAAACCAATGATATTAGGTTTTAAATCTGATGTAAAGAATACCAAAGGCACACTTTCTTTTCTACTAACCAAAGTAAGATGGATGGAGCTGACGCTTGAGTCCTGAGGTCAGAGAAGGAAAAATGAAGAGACTTTCAGGTGTTTCAATATCCCATGGACTGACCCGAGTAGGCTTATCGTTACATCCAGGCTCATCCCATTCAACCTGAAGGTTCCGCCACTTAGAACCAGGCCATCTCAGTGGATCCAGATCGCTGATTCCAACAATGGTTCCCATGTACCTATACACAACCAAGGAATGGATAAGTGATCATCAAATTTGATTAGTAAAAACAGAAAGATTGCAGGGTTAAAGATCAGTTAGTAGTTACCTTCGTTTCCCGGAATCTTCAGTTTCAAACATCATTCCAAACCTCATACCAACTGAGAGCTGAGACCCACATATAGCCTTCCGGTACTTGGCAAGAGGGATCACAAACTCTGCTGGACAAGCCCTGAGAACAAAGACAATGAGTTACGTTTGAACTTCAAATATACTTGTAAATCTTTGAGAGTTGCAGCTGCTTTTGAGCTAACCTTGGATTATAGAATATCAAGAACGGAGTACGGTTTGCAGTTGCGTGAGCAGCAGCAGCAAGAACACCAATGTGCATACTATCCGCTGAGAGAACTGAGGAAGGAAGTGCTGTTTGTTGGCGATTAGCGCGCCTCACACCAACCATTAGTTGCGACTTCTCATCCCTTTGACAGTTCCAATGGCGAATAAAAATCAGAAGTTCAGCAACACCAATATAACTCAGTAGCTAAAATGACTTAATATGCAAGATTTTTCACCTTATGAACAACACAGAATCCCCAGCTCTTAATCTTTTTGATCCAACGAACAGACTCCATCCTGTTGTTAAAAGATGTCTCTTTGGTTGCCCTGAGAATGTAAGCAAGAACAAATCTCAATACCAACTCAATCTAAACAGAGAAAGAGGCAAATCTAGTGGTTTTACCTCGATAGATATGGCGAAATGTCCAAGTATTCTCATGCAGATCTCTTACAACAAGCTCTTGAGTTGGTGGCTGTGCTGTGTAGTCCTGTAGCGTATCATACATAACATAAGCAGTCATTAAAGCAAAAGGAACATATGTTTTTTTTTGCTGATAAAAAGAACCTCACCAGTGGTGGAAATAGCTTCTCTGCAGCTCTACGTGGCACGGAGAAACCTCCATGTGTGCTTGTGTCACTTGCAGTAAGCGTTTTGCAAAAAAACTCAGCCGGATGCTTACTTCTGCTCAATAGCCCAAAGTCTGGTACAGGGAACACATCTCTCTCCTGATGCGCAAATGTTTTAAAATTCATTCAACTTCAAAATGAGTCATTAATGAAACAGAAGTAAGTAGCAAGAATCGAGAACTTACAGAGTGAACAGGTTGAAGACTCATCTGAGCATAGATTTCGTCACTGTCCTTGTCTGCCTATCAAAATGAAACAAAACCATTGTCAAGAATAATGAAAACTGATGGCAATATAAGCTTGCATAAGATTATATGAAGTAAATGAAAAAGATTGACAAGGCTTACATGAAGAGTAACATTATGTACTTGACACATCAACTGAGATGGAAGATTTGGGTAATTAGGGACTTGTGTTGTTGCTGATCTTCTGGTTGAAACAGCAACCTGAATCAAAGAGTAAACAAGAAAAATCAAACCTTTGAACATAAGCTTACAAGATCTAGTGAGAGCGTGTTTGTTGATAATCCTTGAAGACACACAAAGTTACCTGTTCACTATGACCTTGTGAGAAGTAGTACACTAAGCTACCAACTTGAGGGAGACAAACCAAAGGGCCTGCACAAGCGTGCCATAGCTCCGAGTTTATAACCGGCTTTCTCGTTCCTGAAAATGTTTGAAACCAAATTTTCAGGGGAAAGGAACAAGATTTTAACATTTTATTGGCATAAATTTTGAAACTTCTAGCTCAGAATTCTCAAAAAAGGAAAATTTCAGTCAAAATCTTGAGGAAGAAAGAAGATGATACCGGACTGATCCTTTAAGAGCTTCATCTCTTCAAGCAGAGAAGATTGAGATGTTGTTGTTGTTGTTGTTGTTGTTCCACCATTAACCAAACCGTTTGTTTTCATCTTGTCGTCAACACAAGCCAATGAAGCCATCATAGAGAGATTTGCAATGTTCAGTTTGTCTCTCCCACACTCAACACTAGGCTTTAGCAGGACTGAGTTTATTATTTTCTCCTTTCTTTACAAACTCTTCTTCATTGTTATTATTTGTTTAAAACCCAAGAAGAGACAAAGGGGCCTATTGAGCAAAAGAGGCTACAAGATAAATCCAGAAAAGAGAAGAATTAAAGACAGAACCATTTCATGGAATCTGGTTTTTTTTCGGGTAAGAAAACTCCAAATTCGAAGGACAAAAACCCTTACACATGACAAAAACAGAACGAAGGAGAGTGGGAGAGATTAAAGAACATACAAAAAGGGACTACACACAGACAAGCATGTCTCTCTTGTGGGGCTCTTGCCTCTCTTCTCTTCTCTTCTCTCTCTCTCCACTCTTTTTTTCCTCAGACCAAATCCGACCCTTCAATGAAGAAGAGAAACCAAAGGTGCCATCATCATGAAACACAACAAACACAGTTTCTTTCTTTCTTTCTTTCTTTTGGTTTCCGGATGCAAACAAGAACAAGAAGCAATTTAGAGAGAGACAAAAAAGCCTTTAAAATTTTTACTTAAATTCTTTTTTATCAAACCTCTCTGGGAAAAAAAAAACCTCTCTCTCTACATGTATGTATGTATACAAGCGTGTATGATGAGTATAATAATTTATATATGTAAATGTATATTTTTGCTTGGAAATGGGAAAGAGTGTGCATGCTCTTATCCTGCGCTTAAAAACTTTCTGTATATGGCGATGCCGTTGCAGCTTTAGACTCTCCCCAACGAATAATATTTATTATTTTTACTTCTTTCCCATTTATTAAAAAAAATATCTAT